GTAATTAGTATTTGGGTGGTGAACATGATGTAATCTATGCAGAAATAGAAGTATAATGATGTACACCTGAAATTTATACAATGTTATAAACCAATGCTACTGCAATAAACAAAAAATTTAAAAAAATAAAAATAAAAATAAAACAGCCATAACAACTTTGAAGAACGAAATTGGAGGACTAAGCACTTGGTTTCAAGATTATTATAAAGTTAACTTTCAACACGGTATGTTATTTACATCACATATATAGAGATATAGACCAGAAATATACCAAACACTGGTTTTGAAAAAAAGTTGCAAAGGCAATTCAATGGAGAAAAGATAGTCTTTTGAACAAATGGTGCTGGAACCATTAGATATCTATAGGCAAAAAATGGACTTTAATCCATTCGTATACTACATAAAAAAATTAACTCAAAATGGACCATAGGCCTAAATGTAAAATCTAAAACTATAAAACTTCTACAAGAAAACAAAGGAGAAATTCTTTGTGATTTTTGCTTAGGTCTTAGATATGACACCAAAGGCACAATCCACAAAAGAACAAATTAATAAATTGGGATTTATCAGTATTCAAAACTTCTGCTCTGTGAAAGACAATATAGAGAGAATGAAAAAAGTCACAACCTGGGATAAGAGATTTGCAAATCCTATCTCTGATAAAGAACTTGTACTCAGAGTGTATACAGAACTCCTAAAACTTAACAATAAGCTGTTCTGTGCCAGTCTCAGCCTATCAGTAACCAGTGTTGTGGTTGGACCAGCCCTTGTATTTCTTATTATGATTGCAAGACTCCTTTTGGCAATAACCATCAGGAAACTGAAAAAATAAAGGTTTATTACTTACAGGACCTAGAAATTACACAGCACACCTGGGGCCACATAGCAAGGCTGTGGGTAGAGAGAGAGCATGAGGTTCTGGGGTTCTGTAAAGACCACTTGCCAGTCCTCATGGGGGGCCACTCCTCAATATTGAACCCCCTTGTTTAAGGAGGCTGACCCTGTCCTGGGATTGTTTTTGGCACTGATTATGGTCCGTCGCAAATTCAGGGGAATTAAATACCTTTGGATCCACTGCAAGGTGATATCCCTCCTGTGGGAGATCAAGGTTTGGCCACCCTGAAATCTATCTCTTTACCTTGGTTGTTTTCTCTGAGGACATTTGACCTCCCCCACTAACTG